CCCCGCATCTCCCCCCCCCCGCGCTCACCGTAATCCACGGCCGACACGTTCTCCCTCTCGCCGGACACCACTTTGTACCCGGGGCCGTTTCCGTAGAGGATGGCGGTGAAGGGCATTTTATCCACGTCGCTGTGCATGGGTGCTAGACCTGGGGGGAGCAGAAGGGTGAGCCTGGGGGGGGGGGTGAGGGGCTTTTTATCCCCGTCGCTCTGCATCGGCGCTAGACCTGGGGGGAGCAGAAGGGTGAGCCTGGGGGGGGGCACCGCTCCCCTGGAGACGTCATCCCCGACTCCTGCGCTGCAGGCCTGCCCCTGGCTCCCACCCCTGGGGATCCCTACTTGATCTGCCCCCCGCCCCTCGCCCTGATCCGCTCTGGCCCGGAGCACTGGCTGGAGCCGGGGCTGCCTGGGGCGGATCCCATGCCCGTCAAAGGGACTGTGCCCATGTTCCCAAGTGAGAGCAGGGTGAGGGGAGGGGGCGAGGGGAACAGTCCCTGGGGTGAATAATGTGACGGGATCCCCGGGCGCCGCTGGGACTCTGGGATCACTGGGTCCCCCAGCTCCCCAGCCTGGGCTGGTGGGCCCCCCCGGCCCTCCCACCACTCAGCGCGTGGCCTGATCGCCTGGCTGCTCCCACACAGCCAGGCCCCATCCCATCCCCCATCCTGCAGGCTGTTCTGCAGGGCACAAGAGGAGCCGTGCGAATTGGGTCACTGGAAAGTCCACGGCTCCCCAGACTGATACCTGAGGGTAGTCTGGGGAGCCGTGGTAGTTCGAGCTAGGTAGGCAAATGAGGGCAACCGGATTTAAATATCCCGGGCTTCATTTGCATCTTGCCGGGCGCCACCATTTTTAAATCCCCCTTCGTCCGAACTCCGTGCCCGAGGCTACACGCAGCTCGGTGTAGGTAGCTCGAATTAGGATCTCTACTTCCAACTACTGGTACTCCTCGTACTGGTGTACAAGGTGGAACGAGGTGGGCTGGTAGTTCGAAGTAGAGATCCTAATTCGAGCTACCTACAAGTTCGGACTAAGGGGGATTTAAAAATGGGGGCGCCCGGGAATATGCAAATGAAGCCCGGGATATTTAAATCCTGGGCTTCATTTGCAAGTCCGGTTGCCCTCATTTGCCTACCGAGCTCGAAGTAACGAGCTAGTGTAGACGTACCCTGAGCGATTTGCCAGACGCTCCCGCAGACTCCCTGGTACCAAGGGGCCAGCCACAAGCCAGGGGGCTCAGGTGACTCGGGGAGGCAAAACGCCAGTGGGAACTCACTCCAAGGGTACAGTCTGACCACGCCCCCCTGGAGTGGCCAGGTGACCAGCAATGTGCAGGGACAGGCTGCCTGCCCTTTGTACTACACGGCTGTCCCGCTTGGCCCTCTGTTGGGGGGCTCACATCTTCTCAGCGTCCTTGGACAGGCCCAGCATGGGGCCCCATGGTCTCTCATCCCCTCTGTCCCGGGGGCTTGGGGGACAGGCGTCCAGGCACGTCGGGGGCACCTCTGAGCCCCGGCAAGGTGGAGCAATTCCCCCGGTGAGGCCTCACGCGGGGGAGTCCACGACCCGTCGCTCCCTTGCTGGACGCTGGCTGGCGACGTCTGTTCAACGCCCACCGGGGGTTGTCACGGTCCCTGGGCGCCGCCCAGGCCCACAGCACGGCTTAGTGACAGCCCCACAACCTCATTCCTGTCACGTCCTGTGGCCTGGGGCTAGGGCCGTGTCGCTGCCGGAGCGGAACCCAGACCCGGGTCCTTCCCTGCGAGGAGCAGGCGGGCTGCAGGGGCTGCCCCGGTCCGGCCCGGCACACACCGCTCACGAGGGGGCCGGGCTGTCAGGCGTCCGATGTTTTCAACAGTCCAGCTGCTCACAGGCCCCCCACACAGCCATTCCCCCCCGGGAGCGCCTCCGACCTGGGCTGAGCAGGGGCAGGGGCAGGCCAGCATTTGGATGGGCACCCAAGTGCCAACCCCAGTGACAGCGTTGTCAGGCCAGTGCCCAGCACGGGGCTACGCTGCCGGACCAGCCTGCTGGAGACCTGGCAGTGAGACCCCGACGAGCTGGGTCACGAGGTCACATGGCGCCTTTGGCAGGAGTTGGGTGTGAGCCCCTGGCATGGGAAACAGGAACCTTACCGCGAACACCTCTCGCTCCGGCTCATCCCAACCGGCAAGGGCCCGACCCAGCCGGGCACTGGCTGGCTGGCTGAGGAAGTTTGGGATTTTAATCAGCAGAGGGATCCCCCCATGAGAAAGGAGAAATGGGACGTTTGCGGAGGTAGCGGCTGCGTTTCCGCTCGGGGAGGCTGGGCTCCAGTACAGCTGAGATTCGGGCCTCGAACCCAATGAGTTTTGGGGTGTTCAGAACAGAGGTTTGGTTGTTAGGATGCTGGATGTTGCTGGATGTTAGGAAGCGGCTAGAAATCCATCCCCAGTAACCAGGAGGGGGTTAATCCGATACCTTGCCTCCTAGCCCAGCGCCCAGCCCCGGTGCTCAGAGCAAGGCAGGGCTCTGGGGGGCTCCGAGCTGCCCAATTTAGTACTCCATGTAACAGGAAAGACAATTTAACTAACTTGCATCTCAGAATTAGACATGTGCTTAAGTGTTTGGTTGAATCGGACAGAGTCAATAAGAGGAAAAGTATTAGACATGTGCTTAAGTATTTTTATAGACTATGATTCTGCAACTGATGCCCCATGGGCACCACAGTCTATCTTCACAGAGTCGGTTGTAGATTTGGGACCAATTATTTTTGAGATTATTTACAAATAGGATATATTTACACTGAATTGGTAAGTCCAGCATTTTAATACACAGTGCATATTTGGCTTTGAAATATTAGCGTTTTGATTCCTCAACTGGAAGAGATACAGTAGCATATAGAAAAAAGCATGTAGATAAAATGTCTTCTCATGTAAAAATACTATTGAAAGATATAAACTAATCTTTGTAATATGATCTGAACACCCAGAAGATATTTTGGTATTTTCAAAGCATTACACCAACTGGTTTATAATTGTATTTCAACATTTTATGCAAACAAATATTATCTGTATATTTTTATTTGTAATGTTAACATAGCTCCTATATACTAATAATCTTTGCTTAAATAATTTATAGCAAAACAGAGAGAGGGAGAGAAAGAGAGACATACACAAACACATATACATCTCCTGTGGAAAATATGGAGCCGAACCCTCAATTGGTGTAATTCAGCATAGCTTTATTGGATTCACTGGAGTTATGCCATTTTACATCAAATGTGGGTTTGATCCATTGCCTTTATAGTAAAGATGACATATCCCTTTTTGTGCTAATACCATAAATGACTATTTAAGTGTTTATTCATCACTGTTTTATTTGCGTTATTGATATCAATGGGTAACCTTAGAATAAGGATCACACTCCCTCTGCAAGGTTGGAGCGCCAGTGCCAGCTTCCTGCTGTGGAATGGAGAGCCCTGAGCCTTGCGGGCCAGATCCGGCATGTGGGGGAGAAGTGCAGCGCCACGCCCTGCCGCCCTCCCTCCCTCCAGCTGGCCCAAAACTCGGGGCTCCCCTGAGCTGGGGTGGTGCTTCAGCCCCCTTCCATCCACCCTGCAACCCCAGCCCACTCCTCTAACCCACCAACCCCCAACCTACTCCTGCACCCTCCCTCCTGCCCAGACCCCACACTTCAAGCCCACTTCCTGACAGCCCCATCCCACAAACTGAACCCCGCATTTTGGCCTCACCCTAGAGCCAGGGGGGGGCTCACAAAATCTACCCGCCCTGGGACCCCAAAAGATTTCATCTGGCCTGTGAGAAGCCCTGAAGTTTGGCCTTTCCTGCCTCCTCTCCCCTCCCTCCGCCACCGCGGGGCTGAAGCCCCAAGGGAGCGAGGTATCTCAGGGGCCACATCAGCGAGGGTTGGTTTTTGTTTGCTGGTTTGGGGGGAGTTGCCTCTCAGTTGTGTGGCCCCCCAGACAAGCTGGAAGTCTGGGTTCACGGCAGTGGAGAGAACTCTGCACACGCTGGCTGAACGAGGCGAAGGGGCCACCAGAAAGGTGCTGGCAGGACTCAACATTAACACGTCGGGACGGCTCGTGGCTGTCTCCTGTTCTCTTTGTGACCCCCCCGCCCTGACCGTGCTGTGTTTAACTGAGTGAGCCGTGTAGTCGCTGTTCTACAGGCTGGCGCCGGCAGAGCTGGCCTCCTGGGCAGAACACGCCGTGGTCCTGGGCCCAGTGGCGAAGGCCACAAATGTTCTCCAAGCAGAGACCAGCGCACGAGTGCCCGCGCTGGATTCCAAACTGCAGAGGCTCAGGATGTCCTCCGAGGTCTGCAGGCCACTGGGCGATGCGGCAAAACACCCTCCACGGGCCGGATGCGGCTGCGCAACCCG